ACTGAATAGCCAGGAAGCATTCACGTTGTCTTCTCGCAAACAGCAGTCGCTTTCTAAAACATCAGATATGTATCGGATTCAGTACCACATACGAAAGTGACCCAGATCGGATTTGAAAATATCGGATTAGTGCCATTCACACTGTCATACCATAATCAGATATGGATAGCATAGGGTCAAAAAAGTCGGATTTGATGCGCTTTCTCCTGCAGTGTGAACGTAGCCTACGTCACTCCTCCATATGTACGATACTTTACTGTTTTCAAGACACCCACTGTTGTCTTAAATCAGATGACAGACACAGAGTTGAACTAAGCCATCACATTGCTTTTTATTTCTATTGTTAAGTGTTGAAAGAGAAATTGAAAATGGCATGTTAGTAAGCAGCACCATGGTAAACCTCAGATTTACTTCCTGTATTGAAGCCATCTGATGAAGGACAATGAAATCCAGAGGATTATAATTACCTAGGTCTTAGATTTGCTTCTCTAAAGTTTGTGAGTTGTGTGAAAACACATTCGAAAGGCTACTAAAAACAGTCAGAAGTAAGATGAATGGTCTAGGCATGCTCAGCTTGATTTGGTTTTGCTTGTAAGCAATTATACTCAAATTTCCACGGCCAAAATAACTCCAAACTTAGAATTTAGTTCACTTTTGTCTTAAATGGTTCACAAACATGCACCTGTATGTCTCGCAGTGTACACAACTGTTCAAGTGAAAACTGCTTTTGCTTTCATTTGTAATGGGAAGCAATGTATGCAAGAATATGACTGCAGAAACAATACCACTACTAGAAGGAGAACTGGATACCCGACTAAAAGAAACCACCAGCTCACATCAACAGAAACTTGTTTGACTGCAAGACCAAAAAAAGTTCAAGACTAGCTTCTAAGTCTTTATCCTGCTTTAGCCCCCTACATTTCCCTAGGAGACTGCTGCTCTATTGTACACATAGTTAAGACATCACACACAAAAAAACTTATAAAATATAATAAAAAGAGAAGAACTTAATCCTGTTTGAAGCTGGAAGCCCTGTCTACCTCTGTTATAGAATTATAGTCTGTGAGGGAAAATACTTTTGTTTTTTTTAAATTGCAATACCACAAGTCACCACTGGGGGATAATTGACAGCTGATTGGTCTTATCTATCCTCTCTTACCACATGCTGAGTTACACAAAACAGGGGTCTATTACTGACCTGCAAGTCACATGCAAACAGTGTGGCTCCTTTGGCTTTGGACACCACAGTAATCTGCTGGAAGGTCAGGAGGTCATGGACATGGATGTTGTTCTCTGTGGGGATGTTTAAATCGGTTTGTTTAGTTGTCACGTTAATGAAGAACTGATATTAGTTTGAAGCCTTTACAAGCCCAAGGTTCCCCCAATTTTTACTTTACATGGCATTTTAACTCTGTAAAAATGTATTGCTGAGAGAAACTTACCCAGGAGACTGACAAGAATTTTGTACTGTGAGACAACATAAAGCTGGAGAAAAAAAAAACCACAGTTAAAGAGATAAACACACATAAGCTGGTCAACAAACAGAGGTGAACAATTTTAATTAAGATCTAAATTTGCGGTTAAGCGACTTAACAAGTCAGATACCTGCTGAATCTTCTTTGAGAAGTTCTTGTTGGATTTTTCCAGTGTGACCTCAAACCGGTTGCCTCCTAAGATAAACAAGAAATGTGTTCATCAGAATTACTTACATTGGTATTTGAAGCGTGCAACAGAAAGGTAAACCGGCCTCCAAATGGATAACATCGTCTTTGGTCTCCTTACCTGCATCCTTCTTTATTCGGTACAAAAGGAGATGGCCTGGTTTTGTTCCTACAAGCAGCCAGTCCTCTGTAAGGAAGTCAGTACAAAAGATGCGGTCAGTTAATTTCAGACATAACGTTTTCACATAAGTCTGAGATGTTACCTGTGTTCAGTGGTGAAACAACTCATGATTTCTTGACAACTTAAAACTGCAGTTCGATAAACAGGGGTACTAGTTCAGTGTCACAAAATTAAAGAGTAGCCGTGTGACCAAAGTGTCAACAACTCACCCCAGGCTGCAAGGCAGTCAATTTGAAGAGGAAGTTTTTCCAGAATAGGTACAGGCTCATATGCGTCGAGCATCTTGAAGCGACGCTGCTAATTCAATCTCACACACCCCTCTGATATATCAATCCCACACGGGGCGGACGCCTAATCGCTGATAAGTCTGTCCGGGGGTACAGCTTTACATGTCGCCATAAACTAACACAGTTCAGTTTTGCTTTTTTTGGAATGGCCAATACGGAGAACTGATTAGGTAATGCAATGCAGTTTGGCTTGTTAGCCACCTTCCTCCCTGACCAAAACAACAGCTGATCGTTAGCCTTTTAGCTAAGAAGTGAGCAACTATCGGCTCCCTCTCACTGCAACTGAAATCTGAGCGAAGACTGTAAGTTAACAACTACACAACTGCAATTAACCTAAAACGTTTAACCACAAACGCTATATAAACCACAGCAATTAGTTTTCGTTAGCCATGTAGCTTCTTGTTACTTCCTTAGTTGTTTTGAACACGGCTGCGCGAGCTGCTGGGGTTTGACAGGCACGTGACTGAAGTATGTGAGCTCACGAGGAACGCATTAAAGGCGCAGTGGCTTGCATTAAACGGTAAGTTGAACGGTTATTTGCACTCTCGCGAGGTGTCGTACGAAAAGAAAAATCAGTATTTATGACACAAATACTTAAATATTATATATTTTTTTAAATTTAGATTTCCAGGATTTAAAGGACACTCCTACTTGTTTTTGTAAATAAAATATTCTAGAAAAGAACGCGTTGTAATTGTGATATATATTTAAACGTGTCTCCTAGAAATACAAAATAATTCTAAGTTTATACAAAACTTACGTTTCAAACATCTTTCAATATAAATTTATTTGCAGGACATACGCAAAAAGCCATACAATATTATCAGCTTCACAATACAATGCAGACTCAAATCCAGACACAGGGTTTTAGTGTCTCTCTGAAATAAAATATTGTCAATAAGATTTAGACAAATAGAAAAAAAACAAACATAGTTCAGAGCTTTAAAATTATCCACACATACTGCAGTAGATCACACAAAGATGAGGAATTATTCCAGATAAGGCTATTTTTGAGCGTAGCTGGGAAAGGGTCAGAGAAATCTGTAATAATGGTGAACTGATACTCCCCTGTGCTACTAAAGTAAACAGAGAATCTAAATAAAACTCTGGACCTGTTGGTGGAGGGGGTCGGAGAGCACACACTAAATTACATGTATATTTTTTAGCTATCCAGGTTCGTTATTCAGTGGCTAGAAAAAAAGTGTTCACTTTGGTGACTGCAATATCTAGTGTTTCTAGATCTATTATATGAAATCAAAACTATAAAAAAAAGTTACTTTTCATAAAAATTAAAATAAAGCAGGCTTAATTTTACTACAAATGCTTACAAACAGGATTTTACTTTTTCTACGTTTATTAACCAATTAAATATAGTCAAATTTCAACTCGCTTAAACTGATCAGTGTGTGGACGACATCCTGAAGAAATGATCTGGCATGTGTCTACAAAATGAACACACCTCACACGGTTTTATTACAGTTAACTCTTTGCATTGATATAGCTCCATATCTATCATTATATGATCCCAGATCAACAGATGTGGCTTATTTTCTGGACGACGGTGATATCCTTCAAGTATCAACATGACAGATTTTAACAGTGGCTTAACTATTTTGATATTCAAAATGACCCAGTTAGCCAGACACTACAGTAATAATGTGTTAACAATTAAACACACATATTTGTTGGTTAAGCATTAAAACATTTGCTTTTAGCTGTCTGGCTAAATGGCTAATTGTACAATAGAGTTACTTGCACATGTAAATATTAAATCGTGTGATCAAATAAATATGTAATGTAACAACGCATCTTTTTTACATATATGGCACAGCACTGAAGATAACCTACTGTTCATTAAGATGCTGCAATGGCTTAAATATAATCCTATTATGAAACTACTTTAATGTTTTCAGTTATGTTCATTATCTTCCATTTGTAGCATCATCCGACTTCTTGGCTTTGATGATGGCCAGGCATCACGAGTCATACCTGACTGTGTTCCAAAAAGGACCTCACATTCCTACAACTCTGACCCGTCCAGGAGTTATCTGTGCAGTCTGAAGTGGGTGGAGCTTTTGCCAAATATTTTGATCATCTATCCCTTGCACTGGATATCACGTTTCATTAAATACTTATAATAGTCTTTAAAAAAAACAAAACAAAACAAAAAAAGAAAAGAAAATTTTCACAAATCTCCCGATAACTAGCGCCTTGTGTAACAGAATCAGCTTCTCCTTCATTTTGTTCAACAAATAAAATAGTTATAAATATAAATGCTATACTATATAACTGCTTCTTGTATTTTATCCCAGAATGCCATCAGCAGCCGACCCAGTCACTCCGGGTTGCACAGTATGGCGTTAATATAAGAGCTTACTGTAGTGTTACCCAAAACCTGTGAAATAAAAGTTTTTTTTAAAAAGTGTCTGACAAAAGAACAGATATGCATCCCCCCAACATTTTTGGTAATCAGATCACTCATTGCTGCCTCAGTTGAATTCCTCTCTTTTCACTCTCAGATCGTCTTCTACTCCATTTTGGACCTCTCCATCTTGGTTTTCAAGATTTCCTGAAAAAAAAAACACAGCAGTGTGGTTGTTAAATGACGTCACAGTAAAAGGTCAGGACTTTAAATAGATTAAAGTGTGAGTAGAATCATGGGACTCGCATGTGTAAAGTAAAAAGGCTCCTTACTTCTTCCTCATCTAGCATTACAGGGAGAGCTCTGTATGGAGGGGAAAAAGAAAAAAAAAAAAACAGAGAAAGAGGCCATGAATATACCACGCACATCAGGAGTAAGTCAAACACTATGAATATGGCTTGAATAACAGCAATATAGTACTTTTCCATATTTCCATCCAAATGTCATTTAGTGTAGCAGTTTTTCACCAAAATAAAAGTTTACTTACACATCAGCAACAGTAGTAGGAATGTTCTCCTCAACCCACTTTAGATCTTCATCCTGACAAAAAGCACAGTTTTGAAACACAGAATTAAGTAAACGCGACAATAACGCAGGAGAGAAAATGTCAGAAGTCAACCTACCTCTTTACTCAACATTTTCTGGGAGCCGTTAATGTCAGGCTTCGCGCCTCTCATCTTCATTCCTTCTGAAAATTTAAGAAAAGGCAGTTGAAATCATTTACTCTGATACTATTAAATGATTAGAAATTTCTCAATTAACGTC